ATTATTTAGAGAAAATGTGTTTTGTTATAAAAATAGGAAGATTATACATTTGCACATATATTATCATAAATATATACACACATATACCTATAAGTGTTTAAACCATAGTTAATGATGCAGTTTGTTAACAGAGGGATTTCAGGTGAGGAGAGGTTTAGTGACTTGATTTGTGTGTTTTGAAAACCAGCTGCTCTGCACTATCTATAAGTATGGTAATGACCGTAGTGCGGGGAGGGTGGGCAGCCTTCCAAAGATGATACCTCTGCTTAGGCATTTCAGCAGTGCTTGGTTGCTTGTGAGTACTAGGTGTATAAAGTCTGGGGTTAGAAAACAAACAAACAAACACCATCATGGGTGGGGAGATATGGAGATATTGAGGTAATTAGAGATAGAAAACCAGAGAGATAACATCTGGGATAAAAGATATGAAGGATCAGATAGGTGAAAGTCATAAACAGTTAACTTAAATTTACAAGACTATCAGTGAAAGAAGTAACACTAGCTAAACAATTAACAAAAAGGTCATAAACAATAAAATAACAAGACTATAAATGCGCCAATTTAAAAAAAAACAAAAAACAGAAGATCAGGATGGGAGATATAATAGTTATCAATTAAGTAGTGAGAATATAAGGAGGGATGTGGAATAGAACACAATTTTAAATTAAGAAATAAAGGGAAACAATAAGTAGTACAGGTATTTTTGAGTAGATCTTCCAGAGATGATACCTCTGCTTAGGCGTTTCAGCAGTGCTTGGTTGCTTGTGAGTACTGGGTGTTGCTAATCAATGCTGTTATTTGGGGCCCAGTCTCTGCTTAGACGTTTCAGCAGTGCTTGGTTGCTTGTGAATACTGGGTTTTGCTAATCAATGCAGCTCTAAGTCTGCCCTCTGTGGCTGTCTAATAGACAGCCACTAGAGGGCTTTGGGAATCCAAACGGACATTTGGTCCGTTATCTAACGGACCTCCAGCGTCAGATTTTCCCCATAGGAAATCATTGTATGATGCTTTTCTATGGGGAGGTCTAATGAGCGCACGGCCATTGGCGCGCATGCGCATTAGGTCTCCCCCGTGGGGGAGGAGCGAGCCTAACCCAGCGCCGAGGGACATCGGCGCTGGATTCAGGTACGTTTCTGAAGGGGTTTTAACCTTTCAGCCCCGTGGGAGGGGGGAACTGTAGGGACCTATAGTGCCAGGAAAACGGGTTTGTTTTCCTGACACTATAGGATCCCTTTAACTTCTGTTTCATGCTGTGTTTAAGGGCATCTAAATGTTAGATCTCTGTATTCCTCTGACTTTCTTCTCATTTTTTCAAAACTGCAATAAGCATAATACTTATTAACAAAATAGATTTTGAACAGAGTTCCGTTCATGATCATTGATAATCACCTGATTTTTCATAATGTCTCTGCACTAACATTTCATCAATGAAGTACATGCTTTTCTGTTATATTAAAGAAACACTCCAAGCACCATAACTACTAAGCACCATAGTAGGTAGTGATTTAAAGATGTTTGCATTATAAGGTTATAAGAATGTTAGCAAACAGATTGAATAGACAGTTATGTAAAAAGGGGATAGCATCAAAAATTTACTAAGGCAAGAATTTGCAGTTAATTTAAAATGACACTCTGGACCCCTAAAGCACTTTAGCTTGCTGAAATGCTTTATGTATGAAGCATAAAAAAAAAAAAAAAGGGCAGATTTCAATACAAATTGAAACTTTTATAAATTAAAACGCATATACTCCCTGGCTTTCAAACAGACAACAGATCCTGTTACTTCCTAGTTTGATTAGCTCAGTGAAGCTAAACTCAAGAGACAGCAATTTCTAGGGGCACCGGCCTTGCAAAGATTTCTCCATGAGCTGCATTGGGAAGTCTGTGATTAGACAGCTACAGAAAAGTCTGGGCTAGGTTAGAAGGGGCTGGTGCTTGCAAAGATTATAGTGTCCCTTTAAGAACAAATTCAGAGAACTAAAATTTCAAATGACAAAAATACTGTGAATGAATTCGAAGAGAATTTAAATTTTAACGTCAGAATAGTCATATCAGAAATATTCTCTAAGGAATCTATGCTTAAAGTTCAGCTACTCTGACCTTAAAGGGGCACTCCACTGTCCAAATAAATTACTGTTTAGTATATATCCCCCTGAAACCCTGCATACATTTATTTATTTATTTATTTTTAATTGCAGGTAAATCTAAAAACAGCTTACAAAACAATTGGCTGAGATAATTAATTCTGATAATGTCAGCCAAGGAGGCAGATAGGGGATAGCACCAGACACAATGAGTCTAAATGGTAGTTTTAGAACTAGTGTCAGGAATACACATTCCTTTAAATTAACTACTCTGCAACTAAGTTATATTTGCGGTTTGGCTTATAATTTGAAATTAACAGCACATGACACTCTGAGGTTATTCACCAAACACAGTTTAGTGTATTTCAGCCTGTCTAGACACAACCAAACTTCTAAAAACCATAACTGAACACTTAAAGGAGCACTGTAGTGCCAGGAAAGCAAACCCGTTTTTCTGGCACTATAGGGTTATTAGGGTTCCCCCCTCCCTCGAGGCCCCCCCTCCCGCTCGGCTGAAGGGGTTAAAACCCCTTCAGCCACTTACCTTAATCCAGCGCCGTTGGCGCTGGAGACCTCTCCTCCCCCCGCCGACTTCAGCTCCCGAGTGGAGTCAAATGTGCATGTGCGCATTACTCAATGCTTTCCTATGGGGATCTGAACTCACGCTGTGTGAGTTCAATGCGATTTTCACACTGAGAATCACGGAAGCGCCTCTAGTGGCTGTCAAGGAGACAGCCACTAGAGGCTGGATTAACCCTGCAGTGTAGAAACTACAGCTGCAGGGTTAAAACTAGGGGGACATGGCACCCAGACCACTTCATTGAGCTGAAGTGGTCTGGGTGCCTATAGTGGTCCTTTAAAATAAGGGCCTGAATTGTTTAAGTCTGGACCCATATTAAAAAAATGTTGAACTATTTTAGATAGTTACAAAAACCTTTGCAAAAGTAAAATCTGTGCTGGCTTGCACACTTTGACAGTCAGCCACCACGAAAAAAAAAAAAGGGTAAAAGAAAAATCTATTGCTGATTAATACGATCCCCGTTGAAGTAAAGTGAGGATCACTTATGCCCCAACCTGACATGCCACAAATGAAGACATATGCACTAAACGGTAAGCAGCAAGAAGCAGGTCAGACATACAATATTCAAACCACTAAAAAAATGGGATGACCTACCTCTAATCCCCCTTATTTATAATAATTCAAAAAAGTACACAAGTCATTTAAAAAAAATTCATCATACATATATAAAAAATAAAAAGTTGGTGTAACATAAAGATTATACTAAGATTTAAAAAATGACAGTGTTCCTTTACATGAAGAGCTCATAAAATTTAGTGTATCTGCTAGTTAGGACAATGTTCCACGAAATGCGTGGCCAGTGTTCAGCATTTTGGACTGTGCTTTACAGCCAACAAATTGTTAACGGACTAACATAAATGTAGTAAGGGACAGCTGGGATGGCAATATCTGTCATCACTGTACTAAGCTGTCCCTCCATCTCCTTTCAATCTATCTACAATTAAAAGTCTTACAGGAGCTCTGCATTTACCCTTATAGGGACACTAGACACCAAAACATTTTAATCTAAACTAAGTTGATATGGTGCAAGGTGGCCCACAGAAGCATTCTTAGCTCAAGGGGTTAAACTGTTCTCGAACAATTTTCCCCAAAGGTACCTCCAGCGGCGATCTCCACCTGCCCCCAGGGGGCTTCTGAAATTCCAATTTCAGAGACGTGGAGTGCGGCTGAGCAGGGTTTGGAAAGAAATTTACCTTTTCCAAGCCAGTTTTGTGAATGGGGAGTCACTGATTGGCTGAGAGCGCCAGCGGACTGCTCGCATGCATTCAACAGCACCCATGAAAGGGGCACTCCCCACTTCCTGAATATGACATATGAGAAGCTGTATGCTGCCGGAGGGGGGAGGGAGGCGTGAGATTGCCAATCGCGGTAACTTTGGGGTTAAACCATAAAAAAAACGGTTTAACACCTTGAGGTAAGAGTGCCTTTAAGGGATTCTGATACCATAACAACTTTATTTAGATTAAGTGGTTTTGGTGCCTGGAGTGTCAATAACGTCCAACATTTGAAATCGTCAAAGAGGACTGACTGTCTTATATGTCATTGTAACCACATTCCGTATATTCTTCAAGTCGCTTGCACTGTTTTTGTATTGCTATTATTGCATTAAGAATATACTGTATTTTTTTGTCGAGGAATAATAAATACAAATTCTTTTTTTTTTTTTTAAATGGACAGAGTAACCCTTTAATTTTGTGTAGGGATGTTCTCAGGGATGGGCTCTTCTAAAAAAAAAATATGATTTACTAATAATAATTTATGCAACTAAAATGTAAATTAGAGCAAGAACCACGTATTTTATTCACACAGAATGATTTCTAAACACATTGATGTTTAAAGACACATTACTGTATTATTGCTGTGGGACCCAGGCACACCAACAATACTGAGCTCCTACAAGAGAGACACATTGGGATAGTAAATAGTGGAAAAGGGATTTGTGCCCAACATAGGGACTGTCCCTCATAACTAGGGACACTTGGTAGGTATGTATAAGAATATTCCTGGTTTTGCTGATGTGCTTCATACAGAATACGTGTATACCAGTTACATGTCCGTGCTCTGCCCAGCAGACTGTGGAAACATGGTCCCAGAAGAAAACAAACCATGAAAGCCTTATTTTTCACTGCGTAGCTCGTAACGTCACACGCGGAAGTAGCGTCACGCGCCCGCGGCGTTTCCCTCGTGCAGTTCACAAGCTGGGCTGCGACGTTATCAGTGAACAGCTCCCCTCCGCGGCGGGAGGACCAAGCTGCAGCCGGAAGCCTTGCGCAATCCCGTTCCCCTTAGGGAGGCGTGCTGTCCAATCAGAGCTCGGGATTCCTCTGAGTGGGCGTGTCGTGCTCAGCCAGTGCGAGGCTTTCTTGTTACCGGCATTGCTGCCAGGCGAGCGGCGGTGGCTATAGCGCTCATAGTTCTCCTGTTAACCCCCCGCTTCTCGACCGGGAGAGACCCGCCCCCCCACATCGGCACCAACCGCCAGTGTACCCACCCACAGCGCCCGCCAGCCAGCTTCCCCGCAGGGCACCGCCAACAGGCCCCGGCGCTCCCAACATGGCCGACAAC